TGAAGAAATGATTTTTCCACTTGTATATATCCCGGAGGATCTGACACACCAGAGTCTCTTCACTGCTCTTGGGAACATCTGCGAGGAAGGGGGTACAACACCTCGTGACAGATGTAGCACAGGCTGATGCTGTATACAGTGTATATGTAGTCGAGCACTCTTGCATTCCTGTTTACAAAAGCTTACTGAGGGATATGCACTGGTAATCATGGATCCGCTGTCAACTCATGGATATGCTGAGGTGCAGGGATCAGAATATGCACCCTCCGGGTCCTTTGTCATGACAGCACTACGATTTTCAGGGAACTATACATATTACACAAGTGAAAAAATCATTTCTTCAAAATGAAGGGGGATATAGGGATGGCATGAAGCACCAAAAAGGAAGAAATGAAAAGCACTGAAGTGCAAACCCTCGGCGCACTGTGACGCGCACGCGTAAGTAAACGCATGCGCCGTACCACTAATTGATGGGCTGGGTTTAGTTTTAGCTGTTACTCGTGGTCTCTTGCCAGCTCGCGCAGAGTCTGACGCGGGCTAACTACACTACTAGATAGCATGCGAGAGGCGATACACGCCCTGCGTTGCATCTTCTGGTGCCTCCGAAGTAGGCAGAGCACGCGGATCGATCCGACTGTGGTAAGCCATCTCGTCCGTTGCGTATTTGCATATTGGCTTTTTAGCGCTCTAGCTTTGCAACGGAGCATTTTCAGAGAAAACCGCCTTTATTTTCTGACCTTCGTCGCCCGTTGGGTAGATGGTATCGTTTCTGGGACGAACAGACGTTGGAGGAGTGAGATATAGACTAACAGACAGACAGACAAACCCAACTACTGTACCCTCGCTGCGCATGCGCGCCGAGGGTAACAAGGGGTCATTACACAGCAAAGATGCACAAAGCTACATGACACCATCCCTGTATCTTTGTCTCATATTAAACTTTACTTGTGAACAACACCACAAAGATATAGGGATGGTGTCATGTAGCTTTGTGCATCTTTGCTGTGTAATGACCCCTTGTTACCCTCGGCGCGCATGCGCAGCGAGGGTACTGTAGTTGGGTTTGTCTGTCTGTCTGTCTGTCTGTCTGTCTGTTACTCTCAATCTCACTTCTCGAATGTCTGTTCGTCTCACAAACGATACGACCTACTTAACGGGCAATGAAGGTCAGAAAATAAAGGCGGTTTTCTCTGAAAATGCTCCGTTACAAAGCTAGAGCGCTTCCGGCATTCTGCGGCTAATGCGTAGTCGGCCATTTTTATCGCTGCGGAAAACGCGCATGCGCTTATATTTTCAAAGGTCCGCTTGCTCTGTGTATCTTGAAGGCACAAGAAGTCACAACGAAGGGCGTGTATCGACTCTCGCATACCATCTACTACTGTAGCTAGCCCGTGTCAGACTCTCTGCGAGCTACTAGCAGGAGACAACGAGTAAACGCATACTAATAGCAGCCCAGCCTATATATTGGCAGTACCGCGCATCCCCAGTTCGCCGAGGGTTTGCACTTTAGTGCTTTTCATTCATTCCTTTTTGGTGCTTCAAGCCATCCCTATATCCCTCTTCATTTTGAAGAAATGATTTTTCCACTTGTTTCCACTATTTTTCACGCCTTATGACAACACAGCATTTTCAGTCACTCTGATGTTCATGGGTGTTGTAGAGATGACTGTTGAAAGCAGAAGCTAATGGGCTGCTCCTTGAAGCAGAGTGTATGCTAGTGTCTCCAACAAGGATGCAATTAGGTTTTGGCACATTATGGTGAGGTAGTTTCATAGGCAGGCTTCAGTAATCAGAGTACAATGATAGCCATAACCTGGGGGACCAAGAATGAAGGCGCTAGGCAAGGCCCGCGTAACACGGCACAGACTGCCAAGTTGCTCCTCGTGCAAATCAACACCAAAACGCAAGCTAGCCAGTTACAGATGGGTATACTGACTTACAGAAGGCACTGGAGGATAAGAGTTCCTCTGCAGGCATCCTGGCTTAGCATACCTACCAACCATCCCGGATTTTCCAGGAATAATTATACCGGAAAATTGGGTTGCATCCCGGTATCCCGGAACATTTTCATTAATCCCGGAAAGTTCTGCGCGCACAGACCGGACGCGCGCGCACGCGCGCGCGCGTTTGGACAGCCCGCCCGCCGCGCGTCGAACGTATCGTGTGCGCTTTCAAAGCAGTCAATTGTTTTCACCTGAATTGCTTTCAGCAGCAAAGACAGCTACAGAGCGAAGCCTTCATCAATAACTCCATTTCTAATACACTAACTCCATTCCTAATACTTTGTGTGCGCTGTGTACCATCATTTCTTGTACCAGTTTTTGTAAAGTATATAACCAAGGAAAATAGATCATAAACAAGGAAAATAAATGAAACGCTCAAGGAAAAATATCCCTACATGTTGGTAGGTATGGCTTAGTCTCGAGGACCTAGTTCAAGCACGAGACTATCGTAATGCGCGCGCACCGCATTGGGGAAACGCCCTCCTCGGCGTATGCGGCTCACTGACGCTGAGTTAGCAGCAAATGGCGTTGTTCAGTGACTACCGTGGAAGAGCTCAACGATCTACCGTAGTGACTTGCGGCAAGAAACAAGCGATCGCTTGATATACATGCACACCTCCGGAAAATTTGGAGACGTTCTGTGACAAAATCAACGCTTCAACTGCTTCCGGTAAGGAGCTAGCGGGTCTGAAGAAGATGATGACACGAAAATCCCGAAATCGCGTAAGAGCGAATTCTCTGGGGAACTGAGGGCACGTAGGAAGTCTTGGGGCATATGTATAGCTAGGTATTGGCCTCTAGACTGTTGCTAGCGATTTTGAAGCCATGGTGAGTCATTCTCGCTGAATTTTGAGGCGTTTTGTACGCGGATCACGTGAGATTTCACTCGTGCCATCCCTATATAGAGCGTCTACCGACGCTCTGATTATACAAATTCGCTGTGGGAGCACATGCATGTTATCCCAAAGGTTCAATTGAATTTTTCTCTCTGCATTAACTTTTTTATGTAGATGTGTAGCTATAATATGTGCATATGTATGTATGTACAATGTACATGTGTATGTTTTATGCTCAAATATAACTTTACTGTCGCTGTCACCACACATCAGCCCTTCATTGTTACTCTCTAATTCTGATAAACAGTTGATGTAGCTCGGCCTCTCCTCACAGTCGACTTGGGTCACTGCATCTCCCAAGAAGAGCTGGCAGGAGTAGAACTGTCCAGAGTAGACAGAACTGTAATCTCATAGTAGATCTCAGCTGCATACTTTGGAGCTGCTTTGTGGAAGGGTTACGCTCACAATAGTGATGTCACTGGAACAACCAAAGCAGTTCTTTGCGGCAAATCATAAAATGTGTGACCTTGGTGGATGATGCTACATTTTGTTTTCATTGCCAAGTATTGGTTTTATAGGCATTGGGAAACATCCAGGGTTTTCTAATATTATGTAATGTCACTTTTGATAACGGCTTAAACAACTTGAGCAACTCTATGCACATGATCTATGTACACAAACCCACAACACGAATGCATTGCAGCATGGTATATAGGGGATTTTTCATGTGGCTGGCATTTGCAGCAAAACGAAAATTCTCGCAGGAAAAACCACAGTTTAGAGAAACTATTTCTGCCAAATAAGGAAGGGAATGCCAGCCATGTTTTCCATAAAGCCCAGGGAAGCATCAGTATTTTATGTATGTAACTGTTGTAGGTGAAAGAATTCTAACTTTAGCCCTTGCATAATGGCACATTCCCTATAAGAGTAGCACACCAGGCAACAATATAGGGATTGTGTGATTGGATTGGGGGTGTCAGCATACTCGTATCTGTTCATTAACCATGCTTCATGTATCCCATCCCTATCTTTGTTTTATATCATCCTATATGCCTCTTTTACTTAAATTCGCAGAATTTTTATTTACTTGTACAACTATACAGTTCTCTAGTAGGCAGCCAACAATTGTATTTCTATAAAAGGGGGATGTAGGGATGTCACTTTAAAGAAGGGCATGAATATACTACACTGATGTATAGAAGGGGGATGTGGGGATGACACTTTATGAAATCATAGAGAAGGGTACGAATATGCCTACACTGAGAGAGAAAGTTGTTCATCACCCCAAGTGAGATCTCACGACAGACACATGACAACTATAGTCCTCGCTGCAAATGCGGTAATAATGTACAGTATGGTGTGTGACAAACTATGTACCTACCCCTGGTCAGTGCTGCCAATAGCACACCAATTTTATGGAAAGCATGCACATGTACGGGCACACACAAATGCACACATACAGGCACACAAAGGCAAATGTCCCGCGCACGTATGCTGTGGCAATCTTCCTTTCTGCCACACACAGCCTCTGTGTCTGCCTTTCATCCTGCTGAGACATTTATGACATGTCTCACTCATCCGGACCTTGTTGCTTCTTTTTAGAGTACTGGAAGGGTAGATGAAAGGAACATCAAAGCTCCGACCGCCACATCTAAGTGCCGACCGAAAACTTCTGAGGATGCGTGGGTGGTTTTTACGAGATAATGCCGCCATGCCGCCCGCCTACCGGGTCAGAGTTCACAATTGTGCGAGTTTTGTTGACATTTCTAGAAGTGTGTAAATTTACAACATTTTGTGACCGAAAGGGTATAGCTATAATATATATATACGGGTTTCTAGTCCGCCGCCCGCACCCATTTCAAGAGAACGCTGTTTTGGCCTGACTGCACATGCAACCCTGTGTGTACTCATGGCTTTGCACTTGTCTTCTTTTTTGTTTTGACTACCTTCCCTCTATGAATTGTTGTGGTCATAACTAAAGTGGACTAATGACATAATGAGTAAAACCTGTCCACATCCTGACTTTTAAAGGCCCTGACCAGAAACCGGAATGCAACTTGGAGTAGCCTAATCAGCACTGTGCTGTTTGATTATCTCTGTCGCTATAGTAATCCAATCGCTATGCACATGCCATGCATCAAAAAATCCCCTTCATCAATATTATGCAGTTTTGCCCGCCAGGACACATGCTGGTTTTGACAATGATATACTGTTTGGTAAATGCAACAGTATTTGAAAACGGAAAAGACAATCAGTAAAAACAGTTTATAATGCCACACTGTCAACAGTCTCGTACACAGGGACTGGAGCTGGTGTTTGTGTCTTGTGTGAGTGTCCCTCATTTGACAGTATCCTCATCTCATACAGTGGGTTGTTTTCCATGTTGTAGTCTGGCTCCAGTCTATCACCAGCTGAGCCTTGAACATGGACACCATAGGCAGAGTTCTCCACCACATCACACTTCTCCTGCTGTCTGTTTTTATTAGTACCTATAATAATAAGGACAATTGCAGAACAAACATTTGAGTAGAAATGACAACTTAGATGTTTGTAGATTATCAGTAAGGGGATGACAATGGAGTGTATTGTGATGACTGCAAGTGCACAAGCAAATACAGCTGGTACTACTATTCTAACAACTGAGAAATCACTAGAAGGACTCTGGGTAGTAGGACTTTGTGTCATACTGGGTGAACGCTGTACCACTGAATCTGTGGATGGTACAATGCTTTTGGAACTGAATATTTCATCTTCATTATACTCAATCTCTACTCGAAAGAAATCACTGTATCCTGCACAGTTATGGGCTGAGATGTTCACTGACAGTGTAGTATTGTACATGATGTCAAAACTGTAAGTGGGGCCTGGAGTTTCCAACTGTGTGCCGTTGTCCACTTGGATAATGTAGTGATCAATAGGAACTCCTCCTCCATCAAACATATCTCCCAGCTCTAGTACTGCTGTGAAATATGTCTCCCTCTCTTGATATTTGATTGATGGTGCCTTAGCACTAGGTATACCTAAAACCAAAAGTTAAATTCACAAGAAAAGTTTCAGAGAAGCAAACCTGCAAAGTAAAGTGTTGAGGACGAGTGAAGTACAGAGCCTCCTTTAGACACTATACAGTTAATGCTTGTCTCATTTTGTATCCCGTGTGTGATGATCATCAGACTAGTAGTCATGTCTGCCACACTACCATTCAACCTCGTGATATTAGTGAGGTTAGCAAAGAATTTATTCTCACGAGTCATATTATGTACAGAGGGGATTCCTGCCGGAGGATCTGAAACGAATTGTATATGGTTCCTGTCTGTCCTTGTGATGTAAGGTGGTACTTCCCACGCAATGACACTGATGTGACTGTCATGACAATAGTATGTCACCGTCTCATTTGGACAGGCATGGATAGACAGAGGATATAAAGTTGGTTGTCCCCATACTAATGATGAACAAAACTTTTTATTAATGACAAAAATGTATTATGCTCACCTGTCAGTAAGACTCCGCTATAGAAGATAAGAAAGATTACCATCACGGTGAACCATTGAAGGACACTCTCCCTTGCCCTCAAAGGGTCAGTTTCCAACTGTCAGAGAAGCTAAACACTTAGCTATGACGCCACCGAGAGATATCGCATGACCGGAAGCAATTTCAGCGTGCCAGAGTGCCAACCGCTCAGACGCAGTCCTGCTTTGCTATGATCGAGAGCTAGGGGAGGGGCCATTGAGGTTTCGAAACCTAGGTTTGCCTGCATAAGTTGCGCGGATGTGGAGGTAGCAGTGCGGGCCGACGCCGCAAGCAGTACACTGCGGACAGTCTTGGGAGTACACTGCGGACAGTCTTGGGTCTGGCCCCACGAAACGATCGTCTCAGGTGGCTTTGGCTTTAGGGCTAACGTGCAAATCCCTTTGCCTACGCGCTTTAGCTAAAACGTGTTTTTTGACAACACGCGCTATTGATCTACGCTATAGCGCACATACGGCACTAAAGGACAGCTGGTCCACGCGCAATTCTATGGGGCGTCATAATTCAAGTTTGCAAACCAAACATCAGACTACCCATTTTCGACACTGTTTACTAAATCATTGGATAAAATACAGCTAAATCGTTGCATGGATATAGCTAATAGTTAGATAGATATGGCAAAATCGTTTCATGGATATTATACGTCAGCCCGCAGTGCAGGATTTCCCCTCTCGGTTATTATCATTGGCCATTCCAATTGGTTCAGTCGCTAGTCCATAAAAGATCTTTGCGCATGATTTATGTTTGTGCCAGGAAAACGACAGTCAAGCGTAATGATACAATTACTTATCTTCTATAGCGGAGTCTTACTGACAGGTGAGCCTAATACACTTTTGTCAATAATTTTTGTTAATCCTTAGTATGGGGACAACCAGCTCTGTATCCTCCGTCTATCCATGCCTGTCCAAATGAGACAGTGACAT